ATCGTTTTTCCACAGAGACTTGACAGCGCGTGCGAATTAAGAGGGTGGCAGCTGTGAAAGTTCGGGAGGTAGGTCGTTTAGGAGCGCGGCGGCACGGTAACTGAAACGCCGCTTACCGCTTACCGCAATTTTGCACGCAATTAAAATCAGCTCAAGGCTCCATCACGTTGCTTACTTTCGCAACCACTGTCAGGCGCGACTCAAATCCGACGCACCGCCATATTGACTCTGGCTTGGGGCGCCGAGCGGTTTCGCAATTTTCAGCGAAGTGGCGCCTCTCCCCGCCCGCTTGGCCCGCGGCTGGTTCATGAGAAAGGAACCCGACTCTGAGGAGGCATGATGTGCCATAAAAGCGCCCATGGGCGGCGATACATGAGGAAAGGAGGTCTTTTAGGTTTTGTTGCTGCTAAAAGATGTAGCGACAAAGTTTGTTTCAGGAATGTTAAGAAAGACGTTTTTGCTTCTTGTGATATTCCCGCTTAAGTGGTAACACATTGCATCGTAACCGTCAAATTTTCTACCACTCTTAATGAAACTTTATATCACATACCTGTAACTGTCAAGTTTTCCTTAACCCCCCCCCAAAAAAAAATTAGTTCTTCCCCAATTGTTCTCAGCTGTGTGTGTGTGTGTGTGTGTGTGTGTGTGTGTGTGTGTGTGTGTGTGTGTGTGTGTGTGTGTGTGTGGGTGTGTGTGTGTGTGTGTTTTCTTTGTCAAAGGATTCAACTATAAACGGTGAACCTGCCAGAAAGCATAGCGTTGGCAGATTTAAGGGATGGGGGCATTTTAGGTCTTGTCCTCTCCCGCCGCTCGCGAAATTGACAAAAATCCGTCATTTTTCGCATCGAAATACGCAAAAAAAAATGTAGAGTCTCAAGTCATTTTTTTAAATTCAGTACCTAACCTAGCATGCTAAGCATATTTTTAAAATATTGCAATCAGTGACCTTGACTATCTGAGGCCTCTTGCACCAAACTACCTACCTAGGTAATTTCAGCTTTTACCTAGATTCTCTTGCACCAAACTACCTACCAAAAAACGCTACTGTGAAAATTTATCTAGAAATTCTACCGAGTGGCAAATAACTTACCAATTGTTAAAGTCCGACCGGCTGTTTTCCTCTTGCACCGAAAGCCGGAAAGAAGTACTCGCGGAGGAATTTTTGACGATTTGACGGTAGACGCGGGCTTCCAAAATAACTAGCAAAACCTTAGGTAAAATGATTCAATTAGTAACAATAGGCACAATACATATTAATCCACGGGTACTTTTATGTAAATTAGGCATTACAAAATGTTTAGACAATGATAAATCAATGTTTTTTATAAGTGAATAATAATATAATTGACTAAATGCTCCATGGGTTCACAGAGATGCTTCTCCGTACCAAGGCGATAAACCTCCGTAGCAGAACAGCCAGGTTGAAGACTCACTCGTTGCCATGGAAACGAAGCTTATCTGTTCAAGTAATTTAATATCAAAATAACTTCTATCGGTATTTACGTAAATAAAAAATGATTTAATAATACCAAAATGTATACTAATAAAAACAATATCCATTTAATTGTTTTCTTAAGTTACTATTTGTTTGCGCCCACAAATAATTCGTCGCCAAACAGCCAATCAAAACAAATCCTAAAAACGCGAGCTGTCAAATTTAGCTAGGTAGGTAGGTAGGATGGTGCAAGAGAAGCTACCGCCGTAGGTAGTTTTACTAGGTAGGTATTTTGCCGATTCTACCTAGCTAGGTATTTTGGTGCAAGAGGCCTCTGCAGCCATACATCGGAACGCGGCGGGCAGTGGCACCTCGCCTCGAGGTGGCAGCGGTCACTGCCCCGGGCAGGGTGTGATTTTTGGCACCGTGCTAGGCCCCATGGCTGCCGTTTGGGGGGGGGGAGGGGCAGCCAGCCTGCAGCGCATCCCAGACAGGCCAGTGCGTGCTGAAAATAATGCACTGTAGTCGGGCGGATGCCGGCGCAGGGTACTGGGCTGCTGAGAAAATCATTGCAGCGCTTTATGCGAGCTAGGTCTGGAGACCTGTGTTCATGCGCCATATTAAAAAGAGGTAATTAATTGTTTGGATTAGTTATGCATCTTAAGAGTGTAACACAGAGACCCTTCATTGGTTTCAACTTAAATTAATTAATTAGCGAACGTCATTAGTAAGCTCGGACATAAAAAATGGCAAGGTGCATTTGTCCGGTCATTTGTGAACGGACCGCCGTGATTTAAGATTAGGAGGTTCGACTCAATAAACGCACACCCTTATGCAAACAGCTCTGTCACAGGCAGTTACACACCAAATAAGTCCCACAGTGAAATTATTTAGCACTACGAAATCGTTTCCCCTCCCCTCGGGTGGTGGAAGTCCCGCATCCGTGTTATTTGTATCGTTGTAAGGAATACAAATTACGCAATTGAAACAGTGATCTTAATTTTTGGTAAATATCAGCTTCATTTCAGGGCATATAGGCATCAAAGCTCCATTCTGGTGGTCAAATCAGGGCCTCGTTTCATAAAGCGAGTCCGTAACTTACGCCGGTTTTCGGGCTTGTATTGCAAGCGCATGTGAAGCGATAAATTTATTTCCCCTTCCCCTTCTGTTCTTGCTTGCAAGATAAATAAATTCATCGATTCAAACTATCGACATCGCTTCATATGCGCTTGCAATACGAGACCAAAAACCTGCGTAAGTTACGGACTCGCTTTATGAAACGAGGCCCAGATTTCGTGTCTAGTTGCCGTATTGCCTCATAATCCTGCCAGACCTCACATCTCGCGTTTTAGACATGATCACCATTTTCCACCCAACTAGGTCTCCATGCAGGTTTTGCGCGTCACCACACCGGACCGCCAAACCACGCGACCATTCTAGAGCCGCCGCCCACAGACCCGCCCCGTGGCGACTGTTCCCGACCCGTCTGTATGTCTGTCTGTCTGTCTCTGTGTGTGTGTGTCTGTCTGCCTGAGGGACTGAGGGACCCGCACCGCCGCATTGCTGCAGGATGCGCGTCTGTCCGCTGCGTTGGACCGCGGGGCTATTTTTGACCCCGGGGTGGGACCTCCAGAGAGGTGTCAGACGCTGTGAGATGGAGAGGTCTGCAGAATCGCACATGCTTCTGCGTCGCTAGGGGTTTTTCGGTTGCGTAAAACGTGATCGATAATGCATATTTACCGACTTAGTTTTGCATTCGGAACGCGCTTTATTTTTATTTTAGAGTGCATCTCAAGCAAGGACCTCTCAGTCTCATCAAACGATACCTGCTGAATTAATTTCTGCGTCCGTTCTCCCAATCGAAAGAGAATGATATTATGTCGCGGATGGCGTAGCGGAATTCGCACTTACGAATGAGCTTAATGTTCACAAGTTTTTGTTATTTTGCATGGCTCGTTTGCCTTCGAAGCTCGGTTCATGTCTAATTTAATTACCATAGCCATGATTTATTTAGGGTCAATGCAATTGGTATGTTTACCTGAGCCTCGAATTCTTGGCACACAATAATTTTGCGTCAACCATACGATGGATCAATTGCACGAGAAAAGGCCGTTTTTAACACGCAGTATATACCTATAGTTCGTTTATACGCAGCCGGTTTCCCATAGCGCCCTGCAATTCACACATATCATTCGCTTCCCATGTTGACTCATAATGTCAAGATCCTCTTTTGGTTAGAGACTTGCATGCCGCATGCCTAATGCTGGAACGGAGCGTCGGAAGCTGGACTGGATTCACCCATGATCATGGTTGATGGTTGTCGTTTAGTGTGTTTAGTGTTTAGTGTGCTTCGTAGTTCGTAGGACCCCACTCCCAGCGGCCAGCCCTGCCCCTACCAAAAAAATCGGAATTTCATCATGAGTCCTTCGACGCTGCATGGTAAGAATGTCTTTTGTGTCCAAATTGACCACAAGAGCCTCGTACCAATAAATTTCGGAAAGTGATCCCAGTTCCTACGGCTCTGCCGTCCGTTGCCGGGTCCGCTCAGCGACGCGCCTGACCTCTGTCTCGGGTCTTCGGCGACACGCCTGCCATCTGCTCCCGACCTCGCGGCTCGAGCCTGAGCTGGTCTAGGGCGCTTACTGAAATGGTAGGCACAATATTATTTGATTTTGCACTTGTTTGGTGATTGGTCCACGTAACCAAAAACAATTAAGCAAGAACAATTGATTTTGTCATACATATTAGGTACTACGATTTAATTAAAGTTCATGTGCATTGTGCAATGACCGTGAAGTTTAGGTACCTACCCTAGGTATACAGCTGGGTACAGCTCTCGCTCGCGAGGCTCTGAGCAATGAGCATCTGTGTATAACACGCATGCACATATTTGCGTTTGTTGTTATTACAGCGGTGCTAAATTATGATAAAAATGATTATAATGATACGCATAAATATCGCTATGCTTTACATATTCACAATAGTATATGAAAACATTTGACATTAGAGTAGTTTGAAAAACCAATAGGAGCCGTGGCTACCTTAGTTGCATATTTTTTTTTTATAAATTTAGTCCGAACCTTTTGATGGGAAGGATTCACAAGGACAGACCCACCGCTAAGCAAAGCTTGTTGCGATGACCCTGCCCTCTACCCTCCGATCGCGCAATTCCGATTCTATGGCAGAATTTAGAGTCCAAAGTCGTGCGCACAAAGCCGCGCACGGCCGGTCCCCTCGCTGACTTCGCCTGGCTACGGCCTGCCACCAACCGCAACCATACCTGTCAGGAGGCCCATAAATGTCGAGCGCCCGTCGCGCTTCGAACCCGGACTGTCATAACCGGGAACGCGTGCTCTCACCACGCGGAGTCCAACGCTCTAACCAACTGAGCTACGGGACCGGCTATTTATTTTCATGATAAATCAAAATGAAAAGCCTTCATCTTGACCGAAATTGACCAAAATTGCTCAATTGTTTTAGCATAATGAAAAACAAGTACAATTTAGTGTGTGCTTCTCACACTCGACCTTGAACAGCAAAAACAAACATTGCCTGGTAGGAAGAAAATAATTACTTGTCGTGTTTTTAAAACAAAATTATCATGAAGTTTATAGATTTGATGTTTACCATTTCAAATTTATTTTTAATGCCTTTTTCATTCAACAAAATGATAAAAATTGAAAAAAATCAGCAATTTTCGTGTAAGGTTCTCATTCCCGTGGGGTCAGCAACCGCAAAACTCGGAGGGCTCCTCTGGGGCTGGTTGCTAGGTGCAAAAACAAATAAGGGAAAAATTAAGGTAAGACGTTACTTCACCATTATTTCATGCTCTATCTGATGGTATGCATCAATGTGATCATTTTGCTGATATTTTAGGTACCTGACTCGGTCGTGAATAGCCATTTTCAGCGGCTTTGAAAGGGGGCCCCTAGGGGAACACGCCCCTTTGGCTACGCGACGGCGTGGTTAGGTTTTTCATTTGTTCATCTGTAAACCCATTTATCCCCCTAAGATACATCGAGGGTGTTTTATAGGTTTTCTGAAAGTCAATTGTTTGTTTTGGGGAATGTTTGCCTAGGGGAAGCTTATTTATTATGCCGTGATACAAATCTGGCGCGGTTTTCTGACGCACCTGTTGATTCTACATCTCTTCTTGTTGTATTTTATTGATGCCACTTGTGATATTTGCGATGCTGCCAATTTTTCTATGACAAAAGAACTAAGCAATGATGTCTGGTGTTCTGCCATGGCTGGCATAAACAAAAATTGGAAACGTGTATTCGGTAGGTGACTAGGAACTCTGATATCATTGCATAGTATACTACTAGGTAATATTGAAGCTGTCAAAGCTTGATATTATATAAGATACTGTGCTGTGTTAAATTAGAATATTGCTTATCATTATGGTATATTGTAAATTGAAACTGCTAATGGCATGGCTCATTTCACCGACTGAATGATGGTTTCATTCATCTAGCAAAAAAAAATCTGCTGAGCCGTGTCAGCTGCGATATATCTGTATTATTATTTATTATCACTTGTCATGGCTTCCAGATGGTGTTAAATAACACTCAAGAAAAAAACATAGGTAGGTATTGTAGTTATTTGGTTTTGGTAGCTGGTGCAAAAACTATGGCACTTTGCCAAGTGGCTCACAAAAAAGTGAAGGTGGCAAGTTTAAGACTCGTTGTTAATAGCTGAAAGTGTAAGGCAAACAAGCAAGCTTCTGTTTTCCTCTTGTTGCTTCCAACAGCTTTCTTGACATCTACAGTCTTAGGACAGTAGTTCGAAGACACAACATTAATTAAGTCCATTGACCTGAATCAGAGCCTGAATAACCTCCAATCCAGAGCAGAAGGTTGTTGGTTTTCACAACTATATGATTCTGAATGGAGCTCCTGAATTCCTAATTCAGACTGTAGGTAGAGCAATATACTAGATGCCGGCAGCGCTCTTGCGTTGCCTTGGGCCAGAATTGGAGGTACGGTACTGAAGGCACACACCGGGCCAAACTACCGAAACCCAGACTGAGCTTGGACTGAACCTGAAACCAACCGAAACATCCAAAAAATGCTTGGAAGCATGTGAAATTGGTGTGGATATCTACCTGCAGTAAGATATGCACGTGCATAGTTCATGTCCCAGGCACCCCAGTGCAGTCATTTTCATAGCATCCTGTAGCATGTGTCATTGTGTCTAGTTCTATCAGTGTACCGACTTTTGTGTCGCTATCTCGACGTTTCCCGTGATCAGAGGATCCATCGTCAAAACCGTTAACCGCCCCCCGCACGCGCAGCTTGCACCCCTTGGATATTATCTCGCCGAAATGTCAAGATTCAATGCATTTTTTCTTATGACCTGCAAGTTTTGAACCAGTTAGAGCCGCCGTTTACCCTGCAGGCGTGGCAACGTACGAAGGGGTGCAATCGGCTTGCACGTGCATAGCTCATGCACCACAGAGTTTAGCTCAACCAAATGTGCACTATTTTGGAGGCCTTGCCTGGGACTACAATTGAACCGATTTTGAAGTTGATAGCTCAAAATTTCTTTGAGCCAGAGGACCTCACGTCAAAACGGCTTTCCGCCACCAGCACGTGCAGCCTGCACCCCTCGCAGACGGTGACCCCCCTGGAAACTGGTTCAAGGTGTTACCGATGTGTCCCGCCAGTGTGGCTTTGTCCGTGACCTCGGGTTGACCTGTAGCCTTGACAAAAAATTTCGTGTCACCGAAACTTTGAAGTGGAATAGCATGTGCCACGAAGCACTGAGCGAACCGAGGCCAGCACCAAAAGTTTACCTCGCCGGTGACGAGTCGAACGGTACCACGTTGGTCCCGATCGGTCCACACATTTTGACTCCAGGTCCAAAAAAGCTTGGACAAACTCACATACATACTGACAAACAGGCTCAGCCGAACTTTTTTTCAGCGACCCACCAATGGGAATTTCCGGATGCAAAAGCATGCTATCGCATGCTTTTGATCCTCCAATTCTGGATAAATCTTCTGACAGACATGTTTTCTTTATCAGGCCTAGCAGCCAGCCCAGCTGTGGCTATGGACCAGTTCCTACTGAAATGGAACAACCACCAGTCCAACTTTGTTGACGTCTTCGGCCAACTGCTGGATCAGGTAGGTGCTGTTTGTATGTATGTATGTATGTATGTATTGACATTACAAGCCTTGCACATACAGAATGACAATTACAGCTTGTTTGTTGGCTGGTTGGTGGGTTGGCTGGTTTGTTGGTTCGTTTGTTTGTTTGTTTGTTCCAAACACCAAAACTTACACTAGCATGTCATCACTAAAATGTGGCGTCTTACCAAGCAGAGCTGAGGTGAAGCAGCCTTGTGTCTCTCCATGGAAAGGTATATTGTCTGCTTAACCATTGATGATGGGAGTTGGTCGCAGCCTGCATTTTGTATTTTGTAGGCTATTTACAAAACACTGAAGCATTTTCATCATCTTCCAGTACCCCCCCCCCCCCTTCCATCTCACATAAGTGCGAGTGTTTTGCCATTAGGGTTGTGTTGACACTTCACAACATGATCCATGGAAAATAATCCACTCTTCTCAACATTGCGCTGCTAGATAGGTGTCGAAAATGCACGCTAGCATTGCATGTTATGACTTATGATGCCGTGTAATCGGCAACGTGCGCTTACGATATTATTAGTCATTTTGTGCGTTTGTAACCTTTGTTTCATTCCTGCTATTTTTGGCCAAAGATGAGTGCTATTCGTGGTGCTGAAATGGTTGACATGGGAATGAGTTTATGACTTCTACGTTAATGCGCTCCTTCGACGGTTTTCGGCTATCGCAGTCGTACATTTGTTGATCCATTCATATGACGCTGCTCCCATGTTCCGCGACGCGCTCATTCGTAGATAATTAATAATGGTATTATTTCGCTGTCTCAAGGTTATGCGGGACGATGCGGTGCTCGTTCTGTCGCCGGGGATATTGGGGCGGACGGTAGTGGGAACCTTGAGACGGGTCGGAAATTGGATATCTCCGCAGGCCCAGGGGAATAGTGATGGAAAGGTGTGGCCTTGGGTCGGGGAATTGCGACATTCGGCTTCTGTTGGATGGTTAGATATTGGGTGTTTATTTGGCAGACATTAGCTCGTCGTTGAATAGTTCAGTGACCTCTGTAATCGGCTGATGCGTATTTGGTTTGATCACATGACATTGTTCACGCAACGTAACACTAATCAGACGCTCCGAACATCGTTGGAAAGCTCAACGAGCCATCAACGTTACAAGACATCTGAATAGCTCATATAACTTCATTTTCGCAGCACCGTCAACCTGAATTCATCCTCGCACTATCATCGTAAGAATCAACTCTCACTACATTCATCTATGCTCTTTCAACTAAAGTGCTTGCATTCCCAAAACCGTGTTCTGAGGTGACACGCCTAAGGCATATTTCGCCAGACTGTTTCGCCACTCGCCAGGCTGTTCGGTCAGGCCGTTTGGCCAGTATGTGGACCCCAGTTCATCGGGTTCGGTGGAACACTGGGTCTGTGCGCTCTGTGGGGCGTAAACAAATACCGTATCCGGCTCGGCTCCGTGGGGCTGCGGACCTCCGCGGTCGGGGTAGAGTATCGCGGGAGTGGTCTAGTGGAGAGCTGGGGGGGGGGCTCCGTAGATTGGGTAGAGTGGGTTCAGGACAGGGGAGTGACCGAGCAGAGTCGAGGGACTACGGGGTATCTTGTTTGCTTCGGGATTCGTGGACTGTGGGCTGAGCCTTGAGGAGGGGGAAGGGGGCGGCGGAGCGGAGGGGAAGGGGGTGGTACGGCGTGACGCACGGTCGTCCAGTATTGAAAAGAAAGGTGGGGAACAGGAGAAGCGTTGTGCTGCATTAGAGAGGGAAGGGGCGACAGTGGAAAGGATTGAGCCCAATCAGTGGCATTTATGTGTTTTGTGTCAATCGACTTGTGTTTCGTGATGGGGTTTATCAGTAAAATGCAAAAAAAAAAAATGTTCGGGCTCGTTAACCTTGTAGTATGTTGTAATTTTACGTTAATGACCGCTAAACAATTTTACATGGGACAAAGTACGTAGCGCCGTTCGTGGGGGGCCCATCTCTCAAACATGCTTCGCAACGCTCGCAAGGTCAGGTACGAGTATTTACTACGGCGGTGCCAAATATTCCATGGCACCCCACGGGCCTCCGACCACAGCCGTACCTCCCGGCCGGAAACTCCCAGTACAATAGTCCCTGATGGTGGCATTTCGCACGCACCGCTGGACACTTTAATTGGTTTTCAGCCGCCCCGCTACGTGGCCGAACCGATGGGAATACAGGATGAGGGGCCATTGAAATATCCATTGCCAAGCCCCCTGCATACTCATCAGGATAGTTCTGTTTGGTGTGCCATGACATATGCATCTTTTTGTATGCATTCTGTTGCCGAGGACCTGTTGATGAATACGAGGTGGCTGTGAATAAGCTTGGGTTTGAAGTATGTGTCCTTGGAAACAGGTTGGGGTTCAAACGCCGGGGTAGGACAAGTGACGAGGGGCTGTGTGTGGAGATGTTTCGGTTAGATGTTGGACCCGGCCGTTCCTGTGGAATTTCAACGGTCATTGTTTGAACAGACTCTGGACTATTGGAATGTTACAGGTGGTTGTGTGCGGAGAACAGAACGCATCGTGTCTGCTGTCTAGCTCAGCAGAAATGAAGCTATCGCCCAATGGTCAATTAAGCATACAAAGTCAAAGAGTTTCGCGCTTGAATTTAACTTGAATCTTACATTAGTTTTGAACACATCATTACAGGGAAAGGGATGGGAATCTAACCCGTCTTCAAAAAGCGGCGATCAATTAAATATCACAAGATCATTCCGAAACATTTCCAAGTTTAAGAGAAGTCCCCAGTTTCACCTATGTTCTCACAGAGCCTTCACCTTCACAAAACCTTCCGATGTTACCCATTGATATGTCTTTCCTCGTGATGGGAAGCCCTCGCTGATGCAACCCTCTCACTCCCCTTCTCTCTCCCCGACAGGAGGCCTTCACGGATGTAACTCTCGCGGCCGAGGGGCGCACCTTCCTCGCCCACAAGCTGGTGCTCTCGGCGTGTTCGCCCTACCTGCGCGATATCCTCGAGCGGAACCCCTGTAAGCACCCGGTGGTTTTCCTGCGGGGAGTGTCGGCGGCAGAACTGCACCTGCTGCTGCAGTATATCTACAGAGGAGAGGCACATGTGCGACAGGATCAGCTGCCCGGTAAGAGAGAGGGAGGAGAGAGAGAGAGAGAGAGAGAGAGAGAGAGAGAGAGAGAGAGAGAGGGAGGGAGCAGGGGGAGAGGGAGGGATGGTGGGAGATAAGCTGGAAAAGAAATAAGCTGGAAAGAAAAAGACATGTGGATGAGAGAGGGTAAAACTGATCAAGCTAAAAACTGTTACTGTGTGAAATTGTGCCGGAATAAATAAATGAATAGAAAGAAGCAGAGGCAACTAGTACCCATGAACGAGAAAAGATAGAAGATGATGAATGGTAAGTGATCGTCTGTTACGCCAATATTCATGTCTTCATGTTGACATGATGACACGTTGCCCTTTTCTCTTTGGCTCACTAACGCCCCCTCTCCTTACAGACCTGCTCCGCACGGCCACTGACCTCCAGATCAAAGGTCTGGCCAGTGTAGGCGGCGGCAGCGAGCCGCGGCCCGGCGCCGACCCCGACCTCCACCCGTACCCCTCTCCGCCTCTGAGTACACCCAGCAAGGGCCCGCCGGCGGCGCTGCTGACCGATGGCGGCGCGCGGCCGCTGGCGCTGAGCACTGCGCTAAGTATGGGGGTCCCACCGCCGCCGGCAGTACTGGATACACTGAGACTGCCGCTGCTCAATAAGGTACGGGTCGAGGGAGATGTTTGGAAAGGAAGTACTAGAGGAGGACGAGCGAGCAATGTGTTTTGTATAGAGGAATAATGAAGGAGGGGATAAATATGGAGATAGGTGCAAAGAAAACAAGACAGGCAGCAAGGATCATGGAGCTAGGCTAGGTGGAGGTGTTGCAAGAAGTGCAGGGAGGCAGATGAAATTCGGTGCATTGAACGCAACCCTCGGTTTGTGTTGATAATACGTCGAAAAATGTTACATATTTTCTGTTTTGGAGTCATTGCTTCTTTCTTGTTGTCTTTCTTTCATGTATCACCCCTGTCTTTAGTTGCGTCAGTCGACTTTCATATCCTCGCTGTCTTTTGCACCCTATCTTAAGCTCTTCCTTCTCTTCCCTCCTCTCCTCTCCTCTCCTCTCCTCTCCTCTCCTCTCCTCTCCTCTCCTCTCCTCTCCTCTCCTCTCCTCTCCTCTCCTCTCCTCTCCTCTCCTCTCCTCTTCTCTCTCTCTCTCTCTCTCTCTCTCTCTCTCTCTCTCTCTCTCTCTCTCTCTCTCTCTCTCTCTCTCTCTCTCTCTCTCACCCTCCTCACTAACCCGCTCTCTTCCCCGCCTCTCTCACAGCTGGGAGCGACCACCTCGGAACGTGAGTCGGCGCCCCAGGACTCGCCTCGCACCACGCCCGAGGAGGAAGATGATACGTCCGAGGATGGAGCCATGCCGCTCATCACATCGGTATGAATGGGAGAGATACGGACAGTGACATGGGCTTCTGACACAATGAATGAACTGACACTAACACACAGTGACACTGATTTGGCAATCTGATTACATGGGTGTGAGAGAGATACTGATGCTGTACATCGGTACCTATGGGAGAGATACTGATGCTGATATACTGGCACACCGATACTGATGCACTATAATTGCTGCTGATGCGTCGACACTCTTGACACCTTGATACTGACAGACTGACACCTCGATACTGAGACTGACGTGCTGGCATTAGCATACTGACACGCTAACAATGGCATACTGCATTTGTATGGTAAAGTTAACGAAATTGCGAACAAAGTGATGTATGCTTTCTTCCAGGGATGCGGAGCCGGAGCCGGAGCCGGCATATTTTGCCCGGAGCCGGAGCCGGAGCCGTGAAACAATATAGCCCGGAGCCGGAGCCGTCAAAAAAGGGGCGACTCCGGCTCCTTTTCTTAAGAGGAAACAATTATTTACCTAGTTCGGTTTGACAGTACAAGGCGTAAAACAATGTGGTATTCAAAATAGCATTGTTATGCAAATACAGAAGCAACGAATACCAATCCCATCGCCTTTTTTCTTCCACCCGTATTTAATTGATCGCATGGGGGATGTACTGAGTAGAAGCCGGAGCCGGAGCCGCCGGAGCCGGATCATTTTACTCGGAGCCGGAGCCGGAGCCGCCAATACATTTCACCCGGAGCCGGAGCCGGAGCCGATTTTTTTCTCCGGAGCCGGAGCCGGAGCCGGAGCCGTCTGAAATTTCCACGGCTCCGCATCCCTGCAGTTTCTTCTGCATTTTTTCTCTGCGGCCGCCGATGTTTTCCCGTTGGTAGAATTGGCTGCGTAATTCTGTGTGTCTTTCTGGCAGTTAATGTGCTGTATTTTCAGTAGCATCATGTTTGATTTGTGTTTTCAGATTAAGACGGAGGAAGACGAGGTACAAGGAGAAACGTCCATGGCTACCGGTAGGTCGCAATGGTCAAACCGCGTGTTTAAATGGGCTGTTTTAGCCACCTTTGGCTGGTTTTGTTTGTTTGAGAAATAGAGCAATCAGTAATCACTGAGTGCCGAATGGTATTCATTCGTTTCATTTGGCGTCATGTGTACGAAAATTTTCTTTCCGTGTGTCTTCTTTGGCGAATCCTGGTCCCACAATAAGCAATGCGCATTGCATAATGTGTTGTTAGTGGCGTATTTTCCTGGAATGTTGTGCATTACCTGATAGTTGATTATGTTGTTTTTGCTCACTGGGGTGAATGATTGTATCGCGTGCTCATCTTGGACTTGGCCTTGACAGTTGTTGTTTTTCCCTGCTGAATTATCTGTTTAAATCCCATTAAATCAACAACCATGTAATTTCCAGTAAGATGTAGGTAGATGGGTTTTCTCAAAATTTGCCTGTGTCGTGGGTGACATTCAGACTTGTTAGCTGGTGGAAATTCTGACCGCGGTTATGCCTTGTTTTTACGTAACTTTGACTCGAATCATCTTACCGGGAGTTTCCTAAAACTTAGAACTACCCACCCAGAAAAAAAGTTATTTTCTAGTTGAGTACTGAACGTTTGTGTTTAAGTTATCTAACCCACACTCCTTCAAAAAGTATGCAGCAACGAGATTGGACAAGTTTTTGACCATGCCTCATCTTAATGTATCCAGTCTTGGAATTCAGTTCACCAAGGTCAAAATACTCATGCTCTGTACTTACAGCACTACCTGACATACAGCAAGCTGCTTCACTGCTCCAACAAACCGCTTTGCCATCCCAGCAAACCGCTTTACCGCCCCAGCAAACCACTTTACCGCCTTAGGAAATCGCTTTACTACCTCAGCAAACTTCTTTACTGCCGCAGCTCTAAACCATCTCGCCCCTGCCCTTCCCCTTTATTCCAGACTCGTGTCCGGACTCTGGTGACAGCAGCTCGGCAAGCGGCGGCGCCCAGGCGCCCAGTCCGGCGCCCCCGGCGCCCCTGACCACGGGCGCCCGTCTGCTCGGAGGGGCGCCGATGGATTCCGGTGGCATGGATAACGCTCACATACAGAGTCTGATCGCGCAGCTGGCATCGCCCCGGGCGGGCACCGGCGGAGCCAAAAAGGTACGGGGGAGGGGGGTGGAGTTTAAGGAAGGTGGAGCGAAAGGGAGAATGGGGATTATCGGTGGAACTTTGTGCCGAGCTGTGGGTGCTCGAGCTCAGTCCCAATTCCACGCCGGCTTGGCTTTGGAGCCGCACCAGACTGTGGAGGTCAAGGTCACCGCTAGGGCGGCGGCGGATTTGCTGCGCCCGAGCACCGGCCACAGTTCGGCGCAATGTTCCACCTATGGGAGGGAGCCAGAAGGGTACGGGAAGTGGGAGGCGGGAGGAAGGAAGTTAACTCCGACTGGACCTGATTGGCCGAGTTCCCTGTATTCAGTGTGCATTTCAAAGACTGTCATGCGAATCAGATTGCATGCATGCTATTTGTGAGAGATATGTCACTTGAAGACGTGCTGCACGTCTCGACATTAAATGTGGACCTTGTTAAAGTCATTTTCAAAATTGAAGTGTATGCACCCTGAACGAAATACGAACTTGACTTTCGGAACATCTTTGCTAAAACCAGCCCGTCCAGTTTCTGACGCTCTCCCAACCAACAGGGTCCCTACACGTGCCGCTACTGCGGCGAGACCTTCAAAGCCAAGGAGCACCTGAACCGTCACGAGCGTATCCACACGGGCGAGCGTCCGTTCCCCTGCGTTCTCTGCGGCAAACGGTTCAGTCGGAAGGACCACCTCAAGATCCACGTGCTGATCCATACCGGCGAGAAGCCGTACAGCTGCACCATGTGTAACAAGCGCTTCACCCAGAAGCAGACGCTGATTGAGCACGAGAACGTGCATCTGGGGAGGAAGCCGTTCAGATGCGATCTCTGTGACGCTTCGTTCCCTGCCAGAGGTGGGTACTGTGGATAGGGGAATGGGGAGGGAGGAGGGGTGGGAGAGAGGGATGAAGGGAAGGATTGATCATAACTCTGCCGTCCAAAGCCAAAACACCGCATCCCAGGTTTTTCAAATTTTACAGGAGAACGATTTTAAGCTTTCTTACTTTGAGGTGTGATTTCTATGTGAAGGAATCAACATTCCGTGATAGGAAAAAGACCATTAGAATTGTCTGATCTTGCAGAATTGATACATTTATTCAAATTTCATAGTAATCATTATCATTTTACTTAGCATTCGATATGGTGTTTTGGCTTGGTTTGTATTTTAATTTCGTGCCTTTTCGCGAAGCAAAAACACCGTATCGCGTTTTATGCCCCAATACGGTGTTTTGGCTTGGATGACCTCCAAGTTACGGTAAAGTTGAAGCATACAGTTTACATGATGGAATTATCCATCGACAATTGCCAGCATTCGGAATCATCGATGCTGCATCATGTGTAGGAAATAGGCGGGTCTATATGGAGTTGGCGACAAAATTCACGAATAATTAGGGGAATGTTCTAGGGTCAAAGGCATTTCAGCAATACTTGTCAGACTATCACGTGGGCAAAGTAAATAAGATCGAAGCTACTTTGAATGCAGCAAACAGGCGGCCCACCTCACTTTAGCCTTTAGGCAAGGAAGCCAGTGGCGAATATCGAAGAGAGGCCGATCGTGATTGGGCTGACGACGGGGTGACGGTGACGGTGTCAGTATGATGAAAGAGGTGATGATACATACGATTAGGTCTGGCCATGCTCCTTCGTCCCTGGCTTACGTGTCTTCAACTGAACAGCGTGGCAATGCCCGAGAACACCCGCACCGTCAGAAAGGACTGTTATCATGTGGTGTCCGTTTGCATCGTCTGGGAGGTGTAGCCGGACGTTGAACTGGTGGAGATATCTGGACGTGGCTGCATCACTTTTTTGCTTGAAACTTGGGACTTTCACCCAGTCTACAAAGGGGAGAGCGGAATGTGTTTGATGACGGAGAGTCGGAGACTGAAGACAAGCCGAGGGGGCGAACGTTTGATGCGTACATCGGGATTTTCTACAAATTGGCTACATTAAGAAGAACGTGCTAAAAATAGTTAAATGAAGCAACGGAAGTTTTGCCATCTTCTAGTTATAGGAAAGTCTGAGTTCCACGCATATTCAAGCGTTCACTGGCCGCTTTCATAGGTACCGAAACCAACTGATTTCTGATTCGGGGGCATTCCACGTCAAATCGAACAAAAATCGGCTGTTTTGCACCTTACCATCAGCGATTTCATTATAAATTTGTGAGCGAGTTCCTGTGTCGCCCCGAATATTACATTGATGTTTTTTGCACATTCTGACCACAGGTCTTCTAAATATAGGGCATCGAATTTTTACAAAATGTTGCATCTTTATATTTTTGAACGACCATAACTTTGGTTGTACTTGTTTGATTTGAATGAAATAAACCTTACTGTTTAGGTAATTTCTTAAGCATTCGTTTAGAATTGCACCTACTTAAATATGTGACCTTGAAATTTGCTTAACTCTGTTCTTAAGCACAAAAATTGAAATAGCAAAAAACACGTCACCTTCGATTTGGCTAATTTTCATATATTTTATTGCCTACCATATTCTTAACAACCTTTGAAAAAATTAGAGTGGGCCATTCATAAGTTTTGAAGAAAATGGCACATATGCAAACGTATGTTAGCACGCGCAGTGGAGGGGAAAGAGTGAATTTCGCCCCACCCCTCCTGTTTTTCGCCAATATCTCATAGTATTAATGCGAAATTAGTTATAGCTACCTGTCCAAAATTGAATTGCACATCTCATCGTGCAAGCAAGAAGAAAATCGGTTCACAACTGGTCTAGTAATAGCGGTGTAAAGTGAACATCCTGTCGCCGCGGCGACGCGGCGACTCGGCAGCCGGCGCCGACCGCTAGCCGCCGCCTGAATTGTAGACTGTGCCGGGACGGAATGGAACGGTTCCGTCTTTACATCGCGCTCCTTACCGCTGATTACGTTCGATTCGCGTCAAATTTTGTGAGAAGACTAAGAAATGTACAGGCAATCTTATGGTGTAAGAATTTTGAAAATCGGCTGGTAAACAATTGAAATATGAACGTGTAAACACAAAATTGTGATTGCTGCGTTTCCCGCGTCTGCCGATCCCGCCTCAGCCGGCGACATGTTACTCTTAGCAGGTCTTTAACTGCCATATTTATTATTGGATTAACTAGAAATTCCCCATAAATACTCAAAAATGTATATTCTTTCGTATAGTGAAGATAAAAAGACGTGAAGATATCGTTGCGTGATAATGTTTTCGTTGAATTTTTGGCTTCATGATGCATTTCCACACGGCTCAAAATTCACCGCAAAATACCGTTTGCCTGAGACACTTTTACTATGGAACTTGAATGCTTGACTACGATGACTATGTATTTCCATTCTCGCAGAGTTTGGGATATCACTAATTAGCAATAATTCATTTCAGAAAGTGTACACAAGCAAGCATGTCTTGACTCTGTCTTTCAAGGTCACGCGCGGTTGCGTGATGTTGATGCATGAAAACGGCGTTTGCCGCGAGAGTTATGAATGGCCCACTCCAATTTTTTCACATATGGTTAGGAACATTGTGACGGACATAATATGTAAAAATTACCCGAATCGAAGGTGACGTGTTTTTTGCTATTGAAATTTTTCTGTTTTAATTCAAGGTCAAATGCATTTCAAGGTCACTTCAATTTAATTTTATAATTAAAAATCAAAGCCTTATCAATTGCCTACAAGACCCTGTTAATATCATTTTGATACCAGAAAAGGAACCAGAGTTATAGACATTTAAAAAATTGATGTGTGGCATTTTTGGCTATATTCGATGACCTATATCTCAGCGATACTTTATCAAATTTCGAAAATATTATACGTAACTCAGTTTTGAACCATGCCCAGTCTGCCTACAAATTTTCAGAAAAATCGAAGGGGATGACGGATTTCGGTGTTTGATTTGACGTGGAATGCCCCTTCGGTTTTGGGTTAACTTACCTGGCACGGCTACGACATCGGCATTCATGCCGGTGTTTTCAGGTTAGATCGACTTTAGCGTCAGTCTGGATTGTGAGGTGGTTCGATTGCACACTGAACACTGAACAGCATCCATCAGCGTCCACTTTTGGACTGTGTGAAAGACCCAAGTTGCAAGCAAAAAGTAAATACCAGATATCTCCACCAGTTCAACGTCCGGCTACACCTTCCAGACGATGCAAACGGACACCACATGATAACAGTCCTTTCTGACGCTGCGGGTGTTCTCGGGCATTGCCACGCTGTTCAGTTGAAGACACGTAAGCCAGGGACGAAGGAGCATGGCCAGACCTAATCGTATGTATCATCACCTCTTTCATCATACTGACACCGTCACCGTCACCCCGTCGTCAGCCCAATCACGATCGGCCTCTCTTCGATATTCGCCACTGGCATCCTTGCCTGAAGTGAGGTGAACCGCCTGTTTGCTGCATTCAGAGCAGCCTCGATCTGAGCCACTTCGCCCACGTGATAGTGTGGCAGGTTAATTGCTCTAACGGCTTACATCTTTAAATATTATTCCTCTAAAAATTGTGTCGTTATTATTCTCGCCGTCAATTTTGTCATGAATTTCATATTGGGTAGCTTATATCCGAAACACGTTGAATCATTCGTGCCAAAAGAGTGTAACTCAAGGTGATGGGGATTTACCGACACCAACCTATGCCAAAATACCGCATATCAGTCAATACGGTGTTTTTGTCACTGGTTTTGTCGGAAATCTCGTTCGAAATCAAAGCCAGAAGACCGCATCGCACGTGAAACGGTGGCATGAAGTGGATAGGTTCAGCGTCCGCCAAGGCCAAAAGACCACATTGCTGTGATACGGTGTTTTGGCATGAGTTGACGACTTGAAACAACTGATGAATTTCACAATCACACTCCATACGGCATTTTGGTGGCACCAAGTAGCTTAATCATGGTTTATCCACAAAAGCCATAATACCTTATCGAATATAATAAAAAATATATTTTTGATACAAAACTATAAATGGTACAGCTAAACGCAGCGTCAAAAATGGATTGTCCTGGTATCAAAAACCTTATTTCGGAAAAAATGGCCCATACGGTGTTTTGGCTTTGGACGGCAGAACTAGGGACACCCGGGGGAAGGTGAACATAAAGAGAATTTGAAAAGGTCAAATATTTTTTTTTTACATTGCGAAACATGCCATTAGAAACCATTCTTTGTGGAGTGAAGCCGATCAATATTATCTACCCAATAATTCTAAAAGAAAATTTGTCCTTTCCCTTGTTGCATGCAGCGCATGTTTTGGACTAAATTTATCAAAGCCTTTTCAGTTAGGGTTGCACTTTTCCCGTCTTCTCCGGACTATTTTGACACCTGCCGTTCTCCTCCCCTCAGGTAACCTCAAGTACCACAAGCGGAGTGTGCACGGGTGCGCGCTGAACACCCCGGCTTCCCGGAGCACCCCGGCTATCGAGACGGCGTCCGAATAGCGCCCCGGAGAACCCACCGGGTTTTCCGAACCGCCCGGAGATACACGGACTCCGGGAGGACCGCAGGAGACCGGTGGGACGCTCCGGGGCCGCGGAGACGCCCGAGAATCCTGGTCAGAGATGGTTCTCAGATGAGATCCTACTGGGTTCTTAGATGAGACTGTAGAGGGTTCTCAGATGAGACTCGTCAGGGTTTTCAGAAGAGCTGGCTGAGATCTCTCAGATGAAATCTCACTGGGTTCTCAAATGAGACTCTACAGGGTTCTCGGGTATGTCTCAGCCTCTGGTTGACGTCGGGAGTTTGATCCGTGTCAGGTTTGATGGTACCTGGGCATGCCTGGATGTGCCGGGATGCATTGACTTTACTGGATCCCTGTGGGGTCGCGGTGGATCCGCCTCTGGATCCGGTATCGGGATCCAGCAGCTGCCGACTGGGACACTGCTGGCGGTGCGTTTCCAAGTCGAGCGCTGTGACTTCAAACGCAAACTCGCGTACACCCCTACAAACACACATACAAACAGAGACAAACTGGCGGAATTGGAGCGACCCCGCTGAGCGGCGGCTCGCAGGTCCACCGGCCCACGCTGCGCCGTAGATTCGGCCACGTAGCTGAGCGTAGAAATCACCCCGTCGTGATTGCTATGATACAGACCCACGGTTATTTCAAGGGCAGGACAGCAGGCATTATATACTGAGGTACAACATTTTAAGGAGGCTTTTCGTTAGCCTCGTTCGCGGCGAGCGAACACGTCCAGTCGGCTGGCTCCGGCCGGGACGCGATTCGGTAGAGGTAGTTGTAGTATTTGTATCTTTTGCGGGGACGTAGTACAATGTCGCGGAGGTTCGCGCGCCGCGTGAGACGCGAGCTGCGCGCTCTCCTCGCATCCGGCGTAGATCTGGGCGAGATCGGCACAGCATTGGCGATTGGAGCCCTCGCGCGCGTGAATAAGCGCTTCCATACTTAGGTAGAGTTTATGCTTGAGTGGGTAGGACAGGCACAGTTATGTTTAAGATGTTTAAGAGCAGTTAATGTGTGGATGTGGTGGGGGATTTTTGAGAGAGGTGGGGAGGTGGATTGAGAGCATGAAAGTATGTTGGATTGTGGTTATGTTTAAGGTCAAGCTAGCTAGGTTTTATTGAAATGCTTTTGTGGCGTTTCAGTTAGAATGCCTCGTGTCACGCGTTGTGTTAAGCGTGAGACCTGGCAGGGCACAGATTGCGTTTAGGAAGATCCGGGCAGGTTAACGCACGTGAGAACGTTTATCGCGAGAGTTTGAGTCATTGCTTCCACGCGCGGTTTCGTTTTATGACCCTTCGCGTCGATGGATTCCCGCGGGCATACGATTATTGTAGTCGCTAGGCATTGGGCGGAGGCTGGTACACGTTCCGGCTCACCCCGCGCTCCCCGAAGGTGCTCGATCGAACAGTGCGTGCGCGCGCGCTGCTCTGCAATTTCGTAAAGCTTTATTCCGGTCGGTTTGCGTGTGTGCAATGAGAGAGTGGGTAGACATTCCACAGTTTGTTTGGCTGCGATGGTGACGGCCAAACGTGAAGCCTTCCTTCTTGTTCGCGTGGTATTCTGGTTATCTGCAAATTGTTGTCGGCTCGCGGACTTCTGGTGGCGCTCTTTTCTCTATTTACCTCCCCGGTGGCTGAATGCGTATCCCAGCAACCATACACATTTCCTTTGAAGAACGAATGTACAATTGCCACCAACAAATCGACAACATTACCGCTACGCTTCGTGAAATTCCCCTCCATATCAGTCGCATTTTCTTACTGTCGGTTCTTGCGTGTTTTTTTTTTCACCTCACGGAGGGTCCCGAAAACTGGTCTATTGACAGCCACTGTTCACGTTTACACTAAGCGTGCCTTGTCGCTGTGTGCTTGTTTGTCTGCCGTTTCCTGCTCGTCCGCCGTTCCCAGCTCGCTGCGCCGTTTTCTGGTTTTTCGTTTCCAGCTCGCTCGCCCGTTTTTTCGTTGCTCGTTTCCTGCTTGATCGACGAAGTGCCGTGCTTTGTCCAAGTGCCTTGCGTATGATGTTCTCGCAACGTATACTGCTAAGGTCGCCGATGTATGGGCAAGTTGAAATGATTGTGAAGAGTGATGTACATCTTCCGTGGACAAGATGTGTGTTGATCCCTTTCTTGTGTGTAGTTGCTTGTGTTTGCTATGGGGTGTCTGATGTGATGTTGCGATGTCTGCAGATTTTGTGGATGTCTGGATGTCTCATGCAGACATATCAGTATGTCTGATGTTTGCCTGGAACTGTGGTTCAGACATGTGTGTATGATGGTTGTCTAGAAGTCTGGTTCAGACATGTTTGTCGGTTTTGAGTGTAACTGGTGGTACCTACCTTCGGTCGTCTTCTGCCGGATATCGGAAACCGAGGGCGTGTCTGCTCTCCTTGTCCCGTTACCTCACTCGCCACCGTTGCCCCATACCGCTCAATGAGACCTCTCCTTGCGCCGGCCCAGGTCACACTTCACCTCACGACTGCGTGCGGTGTGTGGTGGCAGGTCGGGTGTTCCGAGTTTTATCCCTCAGTCGTCAGACCACCACACGTCGGTTTTGGCGGCGTTCGAGTGCCTTACCATGTCTTCCCGGGACCTATTCCCCTGTTCATGGGTGACCTCAAGTCTTTTTTGTCCGTGTGTCGAGTGTTGATTGTTGAGCGAGTTTGTTGTAATTTTGTCCGACCCAAAAGGATTCGCTGTGCGTTCCTTCAACCCCAGAGTCAATCATTTTTACCGAAACCTTTACGACGTTGAGTGACTGTGTGATGACGGAGTGATGTTGGATCTTCGTTTTCGAAGCGGGGTGTGAATGTTTGCTTTGCGTGGAAGTCTGATTGGAGACCATATGTATAAGTATAATTTACTTTGATATCCATCGTGCGAGTTAGGGGACGGGCATCCCAGTCTGATTTTTATGCGTGTTTGTAATGAGTGTGATGCTTTGACGCGCCTCCGATGTGCCTCTGGGGTCAACTTGACCCTGCGAGGTCAACCGGGACTTCGAGGGGTCATCGGCGATGCCTCCGAGCGTCGGTAGTTGTATTTTTACGTTAGTCACGTGCTGAGTTGAACCGCGGACCTCTTTTCAAAGATACACACATCGCCAGTGTGAGAAACCAATCTTGCCTGCTCAACGGACGAGCGCAGGTCGCTCGACCGCTCCGGTACTCATCAGCGTCCCCTGTGTCGGCCAATTCACCCCTCCACCCCACCCCACCCTCACAATCTGGTGCCTGGCGCACGAGCTCACACAAACACACACCGGTGCCGGCGCTGCGCGCGGGCGCCCCCGGCGATGCAACAGTCTGAACACCGCTGATGTTTTACGGATGACTTGTTATCTGTCTGAGGTGATTTGCACGATTTGTGTATCATTGATTCGGCGAGTGTGTATCTTGACGAGCATATATCACGGTAATGACTGTACGAAACTATGGTAGTCAATATACCTACATGCATATATTACTCAGATTGGAGTTTGAAAGGCCAGCGGCCAACGGTGGGGTATGTTCGATTTGACGATGCGACTAGCCATCTTCTTCTCCAAGACTTGGCTCATCCTTCAGTCGGATTGGTGTGTCTTTGGCTGGGAATTCAGCATATTCAAACACGCAGCTTCTTTGGGTGGAGTCGAGAATCTTGCTTCTTGGCCAAGGAGGCACGGGGCCGAAAGTTCTAGGTGCTGAAATATGGGAAGCAAAAAGTTGTGCGGGTATTCAGTCGTGACTCTGAAGTCTGAATGCCCTCGAATTTGCTACACGCCTGACGCCACGCCTAACCAGCGCCTAACGACAGGTTCATCAGCGTTTTAGCATATGTGATGCTGGGCTGACGCCTGACAAGGGGTATTTTATATTTGAGGGAATGTACAAGTCAGCGACCGTTTAACAGGAAATAAACTAACGCAGGGATAAGAAATATGTATAGAAAATAGTACTCGTGGGTGGTGTATCCGTTAGAATCACAGGTAGCCATAGAAAAATCGGCGAAATAGTATGCTACAAAAATTAGCAGCAAATTAGTGGCAAGCCTGCGCCATGTTTAGTTGTCACGTGGAGACATTTGCGCCGCAGGAACCGACCGCGTGGGGGCATTCCGTCTCTTTCAATATACCGTGGTCTCTTTCCTGGCGGACTCCGAGGCGTTTGGACCGTATTTAAAATATTCGACGTTTTTATCATATACAATGGCTAAGGTAAGTTCCTTTGTTTCTAGGAATGATTCAGTTGATGGCGAAACTGAGAACGAGCACTATGGTCATTGAGTTGTGATGTTATTGGGGTCCATGCTTTTGAGGGGGCACTTCAACTTTCTGTGGACTGCTAGAGCGTTCTACATTTTTCCTGTTTTTATATGCTCATTATATATTATTCAGCTAATTAAGTAATTTTTAATCTGTCATCTATTCAATTCAGCCTGGTGAATAAATGATTATCTTGTATGTCGGCAATGGGCTTACCGCACATATAAGCTCCACCTTCACAAGTTTTTCATGGTTCAGCTAGTGTCAATTGGTGAAGGAAGTCACCATTCAGCTTTAATTTTTCAACTTTTGACTCCTACCCTACTAAATATGGCAGCAGGGGCGATATCTGCTAAGAGAATACCCCACACTCCACAGTAGCATTGGTATTGGTAGTTGTAAAGCAGGTGTCACTCTTGTTTTTTGCAACCAAGGAGAGGCGTCATACCCAGAGATGCTTCCTTATCAAAACAAACCAAACTTAACCAAACCTGACTTAACCTTACCTACAACCTATAACCTTAAACCTACAACCTTGAACCTACTACAGAAAACCTACAACCTAACCTACAGCACCTCCTTGGCTGCAACAAACAAGTGTGACACCTGCCTTGCTATTGCCGTATTATTCACAAGAAGCACATAACACTGGTGTCATACATTCAGTGTCTCAAAATTGGTCAGTTTGTGTGGGAAATGACATCTAAATGAAAATCATTTTTTGCTTGCCTCCAACTTTTCAGACCATTTTGAATTTTCCTCCCCCAATTTTACATAGAAAAAGTATTTTGATTTGCATGGATGGTCACATTACATCCTTCATGCAAAGACATTGTACAGAAATTTATACATTTGATCCTTCCCCTTGGTGTTGTTTTTATCCGCTGGGACTGAGAGCGTGAGATGATGTTTTTTTGTACTCCAGCGTACCTAGATGGGTAGCCATACGGCTGCCACGGTTGACAGTGATGACATCAGTCATCTTTTGCAAGCTCGTTCAAGATTTGGGCTATACGGGGATACGAACCCCGGACCTTTGGATTAGCGCTCCAATGCTCTACCTCTGAGCTATACAGACCAAGTACTTAAACGAGCTTTCTGCCAAGTTTTATGCGGATCATTCTTAGGTGTTGTTTTTATCCGCTGGGACTGAGAGCATGAGATGATGTTTTTCGTACTCCAGCGTAGATGGGTAGCCATACGGCTGCCACGGTTGACAGCAGGGCTGCGGAGTCGGAGTCGGAGTCGGTCGGAGTCGACAGTTGTGACCGGAGTCGGAGTCGGAGTCGATTTTAGAAACCCGAGTCGGAGTGGGAGTCACCGAAAATCCGTCGACTCCGCAGCCCTGTCAGGTCTGCGGAGTCGGAGTCGGGAGTTGGAGTCGGTTGGAGTCGACAATTCTGGCCGGAGTCGGAGTTGGAGTCGGAGCTGGTTTTTGAAAGCCGGAGTCGGAGTCGGAGTCGCTGAAAATCTATCGACTCCGCGGCCCTGGTTGACGGTGATGACATCAGTCATCTTTTGCAAGCTCAAAGATGCTAAATGCTCATGTAACTATTACCTAAGTAATTAAAATCTCAAAATGTCAGTACTAGAACCCTGAACCCCATTCCAGTAGTACCCACGAGATAAGTTGGCGAACTGAGCACAGGCAATGTAAATATTTCATAAAAAATATATGTAAAAAAATATATGTAAAAAAATATATAAAAAAATATGTAACTATTACCTAAGTAATTAAAATCTCAAAATGTCAGTACTAGAACCCTGAACCCCATTCCAGTAGTACCCACGAGATAAGTTGGCGAACTGAGCACAGGCAATGTAAATATTTCGCTTGGCACATAACTATTTGTTAACTTTGCAAGAGTCCTATGATAAAGTGCACTTGAGAGAATGGAGTGTTTATTGACAAAGTTTACAACATTTACAATGCAAAACCATTCTTTTATATTCATCTCAGTTCACACTTCGGCAGCTGGCCGGGAGTCTCATTCACCAAGTACCCTGCACCTGCTGTTTCAGTCGCCACCACTGCAGTCTGCCGCTGTGTGTCTCTTCAACCCCCTTCCCCAGTCGCTCGCTCGTGCGGCGGACTCTCGGCGCTCGGGGGGCCGGCCCGCATCTGTGTGTCCCGTGTGGCGGGCCGGCCCCCGCCACGGCCTCTGCTGCCTCCCATGTGGCCGCCGGGGTCCGCCGGGCGCCGCAGCCGCCACCCTGTGTTCTGAGTGAAATGTGGCGGTAGGCGCGCGCCGTCCCCCGCCGGCCGGCCGCGCTGACCTGACGTGACCTGGCGGCCGGCCGGCGGGACGGTCCACGATCGGTAGAGATTGGTGTGGGGTGGGCTCGCCGGAGGGAGAGGAGGGACGAACGGACAGCTGGTGCTCGTGCGCCGGTGAACGGATGTAAGCCATGTGGTTTGGGAAAACTGATCAGCATTCTAAAATGACAATTTAAACTGGTTTAAAACAATATTTTCCCGTGATCTTTGAATCTGTGTTTTCGTTTAGCAACTGCACATTCTCATTCCTGTTTTCTCTATCACCGGGGGAAATAAAAGTCATTCAAAAAGATGTCCAAACACTTAGCTAAGTATTGTTATGCATATTTTTGTGGAAATTTATGAAGTGTAAAAAACACGGGCAGTATGTGGTCTAATTTTTGACGCACTTTCTTTTACCAGGCTGCCAAGACCCCCGTGAAGACGCCGGCCGGCACCCCGGGCCCCAAGACGCCGAAGATGAAGCCCCAGCAGACGCCCAAGGGCGGCGCCAAGCCCCAGACTCCGGGTATGAAGAACGGCACCACCCCCGGTAAGACGCCCAAGAAGACTCCCAAGCCACAGCCAGACACCCCGATGCCGCCCCGTCAGACGCCCAAGAGCCAGCCCCAGACGCCCAAACCGCAGACGCCCAAGCCGCAGACACCGAAGCCACAGCAGCAGAAGACGCCCAAGCCTCAGCAGCCGGCGCCCAAGCAGAAGACTCCGCAGCAGCAGAAACAGATCAACCCGCAGAAGGGCAAGTGGCAAAAGTCGCCCAAGGAGCAGGCCAAGGTTAGTTGTCTTTTTTAGAAGTGTTTTTTTTTTCTTTCTGAGAATCTAGTTCCAGGGTATTACCAGATTGTTTTCACTTCCTATAACTGAGTCGCGATGGTTTCATATAAGTCTGATTTCCGAATCTTGAACTCACACTTAAAAGATTAATCATGAAGACCATGTAGATTTGATCAGTGTCGGAAGACTTTGTCCGTTCCAGAATAACCTAGTTCGCGGCTGATTGTCGAGTTGTGAGCAAAGCGTTTGCAGACTGCCTGGCAATGCTGTGGGCGTAGTTATTTTTACGTCCCGAACACTGAAGTTTACAGTTGCAGTACCGTTCCCTCAAGTCACCCCTGCCCGTTCTGTTCTGACAGATGGTGGGTCCGAACGCGAAGGCGGCGCGTGACACGCAGGCGCGCACGGTGCGTCTGACGTTCCCGGCCGGCACCCTGCAGTCGGTGGAGCAGGTCAAGAAGCTGGTCCCCACCGCCACCTCGGTCAAGTTCCCCAAGTGAGTGACACGATCATGACCGCGGTCTGCCGTATAAAGGCAAAACCCATTATGTTCGGGTGACCTCTGACCTGAGGTAATGGCCTCTGACCCGACATAATGGTTTTTGCCTTTGCACGGCAGCGGTCTCCGGAGAGCCGAAATTTAGGGCGTAACTTGAGCATTTGGGTGATTGGCTGGTTGGCTGATATATTTAATGTTTGATCCTAATTATTCATATTTTTATTTTTCATGTTTGCAACTTAGTGCTGTTTATATCGTAATACTTTACAGGGCTTGTTTAGAGCGCATCGGATGAACACGAAAGGGGCATTTCATGAATCGGGAATGTAATTAACCCTTGCTGATGGCTATTTGTTTTTGGCTAGTCTTGCCTCTTACCAGTTCAGGTTTTCACCAGACCTGAGCCAGTTCTGTCTCCCCTTACACTGCACAGTGCACACTGTGTTTGTGGAGTTTGCCCCTCACAGTTATGATAATCCCCCTTTCCCAGCGTGGTGTTTGTGGAGTTTGGCTCACATTCATTATATATTTTCCGTCTCCTTCAGTGTTGTGTTTGTGGAGTTCGGCTCCGAGGCCGAGGCGGACAAGCAGCACTCGAAGCTGCAGCCGCTGATCGCCGACGGACAGCTGAACCAGGTCAACTTTGTCGGAGAGAAGGAGCGCGAGTTCCAGTCCAACAACCGAGGCATGGATAACACCAGGTGAGTAAGAGACAGACAGACAGACAGACAGAGACAGAGAGAGAGGGGGGAAGGAGCGAGAGTTTCAGAACAACTGGGGCATGGATAACACCAGGTGAGGAGGGCTCTCGACGTGAGGCTAGAGGAAGAAAAGAGACTTGGAGTTGCACATCAAAGTTTCGACTATCTTTCAAATAAATGGACCAGTGGCCTTGTCACTGGCTGGGCATTGCCATATGTTGTAGTAGCCCCATATCTTCATTGGTATAATCAATGGTGAACGATCATTTTAGATTTAACTCTGTACTTCACAGCTCAATCTCTTTTTGCCGCAGCTCCCGTCTTGTCCGTAGATCCGCAATTAGTGAGCTTGCATCGTATATCAATTCATGTGTCCGTCTGCCTAGCTTCGTTCGACCGCCACATCTGACCCTCCCCCCCCCCCCTCCTTTCAGGCTATTTGTGCGCGGCATCGGGAGCGCCGTGGAGGCAGACATCAAGAAGCTGTTCCCCACCGCCATCTCTGTGGTCATTCGCGGAACCAACAACGCGCGCGGCAAGTCGCACCAGCACAAGTACTGCTTCGTGGTGTTCGCCACGGCTGCTGCGTGCACGGAGGCGCTCGAAAAGTCCAAGGGTGAGTCACGCGGGGGAGTGAAGGGGTGTGTGGGAGATAAATGGCGATTTGGTTGTTTTGCTGAGAGCTTGTAGAATTGTTAGAGCTTTGTCTTGCAGTTTCTAGTTGCTTCTAGCGCGAGAAGTTGAAGCCTGTGTGTGAGCTGTAATTGTTTATTAGTTGCGTACCGTATTCGTTCAACATTTATTGTTTCCTAGTTGGCTAAACTATTTTTGGCATGGCTTTATGGCTTTATACGTGATATTTCCCGTAGCTATCCGCGGGCATAAAATAAAATTCACTCGCGATTCTATTTTAGCACGTGCATTTTTTCGTCGTTTCACTCCGTCTCTTTTTCGTCTAGATCATCCCGTTCTCTACGATCTTTGGCTGCACTGCGAAATATGTAACCATTTTGTATCCCTCCACGCCACGTCTGACCATCTTTCGTCTCTGCCGCGCCATTTCTGACATTTTGTCTTCTCCCTCGCCAGGCCTGACTCTGTTCGGAAACCCGCTGACGGTCAGCTACGCCTTCCTGAGGAAGGCCCCGGGAGCCGACGCAAAGGCCGAGAAGAGGCCCGCAGAGGCCGCCACGACGGCCGTGGAGGCCCCCGCCAAGAAGGTCAAGGTAGAACCCAAGGTGGAGGAAGAGGAAGACGATGATGAGGATGATGACGAAGAAGATGAGGAGGAGGAGGGTGAAGATGATGAAGATGACGATGAGGAGGGCGATGATGACGAAGATGATGAAGAAGGAGATGACGATGACGACGAAGACGATGATGATGAGGATGATGACGAAGATGACGATGACGACGACGATGACGATGAAGAGTAACGTACACAGGACGTTGGGAAGGGTAACTGCGTCTCACACGGGGTATAAGGCGCGGCGATTTCTAGCGTTGCGCCTCATCCGCATCTCACCATATACAAGGGACATTCAGGTGTCATTGCATTGTTTTCATATGGGTCTTGTGTGTCGCCTCGTTTAATGTGGTTGACGTGAGAATTGAGCTAAGTGGGCTCGAGAGGTTGTTTGTCGAAAAATATATGATAGCGTCTTTATTAAGTTGTTTTCAGCTTTCGTGTGGGCGTTTGGTGGCAACATTGTATTTTCATTACGCGAGACGGCGCTGACTGGGAGCTTTGGATCGCCCAAATTGCGAAGGCAGGCAGCAGCCAGCAGATGAAGGCCGGATATAGAGATAAATAAAATAAAATATATTATGGGCCTGTTCCAGCGCCTCCAGAAACCTCCAGAAAGCTCTAGAATCCTCCAGAGAGCGTTCCAGCGCCTCCAGAAAGCTCCAGAAAGCTCTCGCCAAAGCTCCAGAAACCTCCAGTAGCCTCCAGAGAGTTGGGAGGTCCAATTTTCTCTGGAGGCTCTGGTCTACAATTATGGCGCACATGTGACAATCACGAATGTAAACAATGGACTTTTGACTGATTATTTTACAACTTCAATGTAAAGAAATTTAATTTCAATTTAAAACTTCAATGTAAAGAAAATTACATTGCTATAATTTTGTTCATCTTTCTTAATAAAATTGAAAACAAATTTTGCATTTCAAGAGAGAACAATCCTCATTCTTCTGGTATATGTGATGCCAATCTCCAGAAATCTCCAGATTGCGTTCCAGCGCCTCCAGTGAAACCTCTGGTAGAGCCTCCAGTCAAGAATTTCTACTGGAGGCGCTGGAACAGGCCCTATGTCTACAGAAGTCTGCAGCTGCATAGTGTCTGCGGCGTTGAGTCGCGGATTTAGAGGGCATCATATGACTCAGCCAAGGGCTACCATATGAGCTCGGAGTACTAAACTGCCAAGAACGAATATGGGAAGGTATTGGCCAAGAAACCGGTTACGTGAAAAAGAAACGCGATTTTGCAAGCACCGTTCATGACTTCAGTTACAAAAGCCTGAAACAAAAACAATTTTCAAAACAAAAACTACAGGAGCTGTTCTTCCGTCGTAGTCAAATGCTTTGTTTCCAAATTTAGTCTAAATCTACCGAGAATCCGCCTAGAATTTCGGGTTTCGCCTAGGACTGTGCGCCACGGAGCTTTGCTTTCGGTTGGTGAAACACGTGAACCACCACGTATTTTGTGCATAGTGTGAACACAGTGTGGGGGTGATTTATTTAGGGTTGTGTGAATTGTCAGCAATTAACCATTGTTAGTGTGTCGAATTAAGAATTGGATTGGTGTTCAAGCAAGGCTTTTGAATAAGGATTCCTAATCGATATCTTTTCATGCAAGGTGAGCGGTAGGAATGAGTGTTATGATAATTGTTTCCAAGTCTTTTTTATTTTCTCCATGTCACATCAGTTTAAATAGGTAGTTAGCTGAATGCATTGCAGGCGTGTGATTTTAATAGAATTTGTATCATTTTAAAATGGCTCATAATCAAATGACTGCCTTCCATTTCCACAGAATGTCTGACTCCGTGGAGGAGTGGGATGTCGAGCGGGTGCGGCAATGGCTACACGAGCACGGCTTCTCCAGCTACACAAACCTGCTCTGCGATCGGCACCGGCTGGATGGCAGCTGTCTGCTGATGCTGACGGAACAGGACCTCAAACAGCCACCACTAGAAATCAAGGTCGGATGTCAATGGAGCAGGTTTTCTTAGAGAACGGCCCCTGAGAGCCTTGAAACAGAGCCTTGAGCCTTTGATGTTTGACAAGTATGATCCTCCTCCTCCCCTCGGACCTCCACCAGGTTCTGGGGGACGTGAAGCGCCTCTGGCTGCGGCTCTGTGAGCTGCAGGGCGCCGGCGCCCGTCCCTCGGCAGCGCTGGGCTCGCCCCGGAAACAGTGCCGGATCGCGGCGGTCGAGTCGAGCGACACAGATGCCGTGGAGGAGGTCCCCGAGAGGTGAGCCCGGTTTAGAGAGAGCATTTATCATTAGAAAGTTGACTGCAAAACGTTAAAGGCAGCATAGAGTTCCTTGTGAGGTGATTTTGTTTGCCATATCTCCTCTTGCAGAATGCTCTTTTTTTTCTTTAGCTACCATTGTTTCAGCGCTATTAATACTTATGCTTCCGATTTTATGAAAACTTGTTAGAACAGGCTATACAGGACAATATTATTTTTCTACAGAGAATTTCTTTTAATTCTAGATTGAACTTTTTGCTCTTTTCCTCTAAAAAAGACGAATGCCGTCATCAAATCGAAGAACGTTTCAAAAACCGCCCGTGTTTTTTTTCTCTCTCGCTGTCAGGGAGCGCGCGCTGCTGGGCTACGCCACCTCCCTCCGGCCGGAGCGGTTCAAGGCCGTGCTGTCCATGCTGTACCTCCTTCTGGTCACCTGGATCACCTCCTTCGTCATGGTCATCGTGCACGATCGGGTGCCCGACATGAAGCGCTACCCCCCGCTGCCGGACATCTTCCTAGGTGAGGTGCCCCACGGGATTTTGCTTTTCTCGCATAAAGGCATTGCCGCTTAATTTACGGATACGATAGGAGTGGTTGGTAAGATGCTTTGGTCTAGCTGTTCATTGCGGTTGGTGTTACCGGGAAACACAGCAATGGTTAGTACCGTGGACCGTGGTAGTTGAATAAAACTACAACATATTAGCTAAAATTATTCCTGGCGTGATGCATGATACCTGAAGCTTTCATCAGTGCTTTATAAGATTGTTAGACCCTGCGATCAAAAATTGTTCTCCTGCTTGCTAGCCGAATCCGCGCAGGTATTGTTTTGGCCACATGTGTGTCAGATGTCTTGTTTGTGGTAGCAGCTGTGGGCCGCGCAAACAGTCGCTGCTGTGGCGGACAGGTGGTGGTAGATGCACATGACCCGGATACGGAGTGTCAGCTGATGCCTTGGGTGGATTCGCTTCACTTTTCACATCAGGTCTTGTTATGATTAGCTCAAAGGACATCGTTTTTTATCTTTTTTTTTCTTTTACTTATTTTCCCCTTTATCTCAGACGCGTCTTTTTAAGTCTTTTCGAAAGCAGTATTTTCTTTCAGTTTTCTCGATCCCTTTCCAATCTTTTGCACATCCATGGATGCCTAGCCCCTTTTTGTTCGTGCGTTGTTCGATACTATCCACACTCGAAGCAGTTACTTATTGCTGCTAGTTTTTCAAATTTCCTTTTTCATTTTCAATGCATCGCTCGGCTCTGCGACGAGCACGGACATTGCTCTTTAAACTGCGTTATTTTCTTATCGTTTTCCTGTAAGTAGTTGTTTCTGTTTGTTGTTTGTCAGTGTTGGTTTCGGTTTATTTCTCATATTATGTGTTACTTTGCTGTTTTTTCTCGACAGACAACATTCCGCACATTCCGTAGGCGTTCATACCGTGTTCGTTTCTATTTGTCCCTCATACTAATTATTTATTTGTTTGTTGTTGCAGACAACATTCCACACATTCCGTAGGCGTTCATACCGTGTTTGGTTGTGTTCGTGTCTCAGACCGTGTTTGTTTGTGCGTTTGTTTCGGCAGACAACATTCCGCATATTCCGTGGGCGTTCATACCGTGTTTGGTTGTGTCTGTCTCTCAGACCGTGTTTGTTTGTGCGTTTGTTTCGGCAGACAACATTCCGCACATTCCGTGGGCGTTCATACCGTGTTTGGTTGCGTCTGTCTCTCAGACCGTGTTTGTTTATTTGTTTGTTTCGGCAGACAACATTCCGCATATTCCGTGGGCGTCCATACCGTGTTTGGTTGTGTCTGTCTCTCAGACCATGTTTGTTTGTGCGTTTGTTTCGGCAGACAACATTCCGCACATTCCGTGGGCGTTCATACCGTGTTTGGTTGCGTCTGTCTCTCAGACCGTGTTTGTTTATTTGTTTGTTTCGGCAGACAACATTCCGCATATTCCGTGGGCGTTCATACCGTGTTTGGTTGTGTCTGTCTCTCAGACCGTGTTTGTTTATTTGTTTGTTTCGGCAGACAACATTCCGCATATTCCGTGGGCGTTCATACCGTGTTTGGTTGCGTCTGTCTCTCAGACCGTGTTTGTTTATTTGTTTGTTTCGGCAGACAACATTCCGCATATTCCGTGGGCGTTCATACCGTGTTTGGTTGTGTCTGTCTCTCAGACCGTGTTTGTTTGTGCGTTTGTTTCGGCAGACAACATTCCGCATATTCCGTGGGCGTTCGGAATCTGTGAACTGATCGGTACAACTCTGCTGGTCATCTGGATATCCGTCCTGCTCGTGCACAAACATAGGTAAGAATATAGGTGAGAACGTAGGTAAGAATATAGGTGAGAACATGGGTGAGATAACATAGGCATTTGCATAAATATAGGCGAGGGAGATCCGTCGTTCAGATACATCCGTCACATACATATGTTGTACATCCGTTACAAATATGTCCGCTGTATGCGTATTCAATGCTGGAAATAAGCCCCTTTTCTGGTCCCGTTAGGTCCAAAAGATTTTGTTCTCCACTGCAAATGCATGCTTCGGTGCCTGGAAAGTCTTCCAGTCTGTGCGATGAAAACTGCAATTCTGCTTACGCCTAAAATATGCAATAATAGCATAGAGTCCCACATTTTATCAGTTATCATATGTACTAGTTATCGTATGTCTAGTAGTAGGCCAAACATATGGTTTTGTGGCTGGTTATTCTAAAAGCTTGCCGGTTCTCCTAACATATTTTATTCTCCGGGACCGAGGACCAAAGGCAAGAATTTCTTCACTGTGCGTATTGCAAACATATCCGGCGTCTGTCCTGAATGTTTATACATAATGATCCTTTTTATCCCCCACGTGTAAATATCGATCGATCGTTTTTCCGAATGTTTATATTATAGTTCCTTCATCACTGTGCCGCAGGGTTATGTTGATATGCCGCTTCCCAGTTGTCTCTATGCTATAGATTTATATATTCTTCGGCTTCTGCTACAGGCTCATATTGATTCGTCGTTTCAACTCCTTATGCGGCACCGTCTACCTGCTGCGCTTTATTACAGGTTTATATTGATTCCTTGGCTCTATTTCACAGGTTTATATTAATCCGTTGTCTCTATTCCACAGGTTTATATTGATCCGCCGTTTCAACTCGCTCTGCGGCACCGTGTACCTGCTGCGCTGCGTGACGATGCTGATCACTTCGCTGTCCGTGCCGGGAGCCCACCTCTCCTGCGCGCCAAGGGTGAGAAAACGGGGATAAAGATAGAGAGAGGGAGAGAGAGAGAGAGGGTGGAGAGGCCGGGCTGCCGGTGCCACATTCGCTCATTTCTTACGCGATCCTAGGTAAGTTAAATCGATGCCCTCTACTCAGTGCCAACTACATCGATATAGAATGAGGGTCAGGCGTAGTGTTTTTATTCGATTTCGAACCCTCGACTGTCGCCTAACTATATAGGAGACGGACGACTTAGCCGCTAAGCAATATAGAGTACGACTGTTAGTTTATTTTTCCGGCGTTAAAGCTCTATCTGTCACTTTCTACCTCATGACTGGAAGTGTGTTTCTTATATCTAATATCAGTACACCCTCTGACATGCCTCTGTCCTTGTCAAGAGTATGGCGACATATACGCTAAACTGTAACCAGTACACTGTCTGACATACCTCTGTCCTCGGACAGGAGTACGGCGACATATACGCCAAGCTGTACCAGTACACTGTCTGACATACCTACATATGTCCTGTGACAGGAATATGGCGACATATACGCCAAACTGTACCAGTACACTCTCTGACATACCTCTGTCCTCGGACAGGAGTACGGCGACATATACGCCAAGCTGTACCAGGCGTACAGCATCTGGCATAATGCCGGTCTCAGCATCCAGGGCGTCCGCTCCTGTGGTGACTACATGTTCTCGGGACATACTGTGGCGTTGACCATGCTCAACTTCTTCATCACTGAGTGTGAGTTACCATGATGAGTTATCACAGAGTGTGAGTTGTGCGAGATCAGGGTCATTGGGAGGGAGCGAGAGAGAGATTTGGAGGGTTGGGGGTGGAATTCGTTGCTCATGGATGCATGTTTGTGGACTTTATAAATTTTGGGGAATTGATATCGGTGTTTTAGAGTGTAAGTCAATTCTGTCTTTGAATTAGCTGTCAATCTAGTGGATCAGTTAACTGAGGTTTTGGAATACGGTTTAGTCGAGTGGTTTTGCTGCCCTTATTTTTTGCATTCGTACTTTCATCTTAATTTTCGTGTTATGTCGTCCTCAGCTGAAGTATCTAGCCCTTCCTAATTTTTTTTAATTGCATGTTCTTATATCAATCGAGTTACTTTTCGGTCGCACTCGTGTCCTAACCCGCTGCCCCCATTGTCTCCCCATTTTTCAGACACGCCGCGCCGAATCTACTTCCTGCACACGTTCACTTGGCTGCTGAACGTGTTCGGCGTGTTCTTCATCCTCTCTGCTCACGAGCACTACTCGATCGATGTGTTCATCGCCTTCTACATCACGTCCCGGCTCTTCATGTACTACCACACCCTGGCCAACAATCAGGTGGTGAGTGCGCGGTACAGAGGTGACTTATCGAGAGGTTAGGGGTTCGATTCTTGGTGGTGTATTTTTGGAGGTAGTCATGGTGTGCTCACTGGTTAGGTCTTTCGGGGACAGATATGTCTTTGGGAACTGTTTGATTAAGTATGTTATGGATTTCGTGACTCGTGTAAATAGTCCGTCTTTGTAGTTTCTTCGTTAAAAAATTATTTCACATACTAGTAGCACCGTGTGGTTTTATATTAGATTTCCTTTCTGCAGTTTGGACTTGCACCGCGTTTTAGGAGTTTTAATCTCTTACATGCTCGGTGTTCATTTCACCGAGGCCGTTCTCCCGCTGCGAGTTATCGTTGCGCCGCCCCACCGCCCTACTTTTCGCGTTTTTTTTTTTTTACTTTTGTCTGTGAACGCTGCTAAGTCGCCTGTTTCTCTGTGGTACACTGTGTTGGCTGTTGGTCAGTGTCCCGCCGCGTTAGCTCTCTGTCTCGGTGTCTCTCTGTCTCTCTCTCTGTCTCTGTCTCGGCGTTTGTGTGTCTGTGTGCGGCGGCGCGTGCGACGCATGTCGGCTCCTTTCAGGAGTGCTGCCGGTGGCGCCGCTCTCTGAGTAGGGACTCCTCCCCGGGAGAGTCCGGGCCGCGGCTCCTCTGGGTGAGACTGTGTGAGCTGCCCCCCCCCCCCCCCATACTACTGCAGCAGCGGTCCTCGACAGACGACACCATAATACCACCCCAAGTCTGAGCTTAACAACAGTTGTGAGATTTGGCGCCCGGTTCACGCCTGAGTTTGCCTTGCTCACAGAATTACTGATTGCAAGTTGTTTTGATCCCCGTGCCGTTTCGTGCAGATGTGATAGCCTTTTTCCTTATTTGCGGCTCTGAGGTGTTTCAGACTGTTTGGTTTGCCTGAGAGTACCATTGCAGTGTGGCGAATGGTGATGTCCTCACATGGGCCCGTCACCGCCCGTGCCTTTTCCCACGACTGCAGGTTTGCACCCTTGATCACGTTCTGCTTATTTGGGTGATAAAGACTTAGTAGGTACTGCGCATTTATTTAGAAATGATTCCCGAAATTGTCCCGAAGCTCAAAATGGAGTTTTTGTAAGCATCCCCTTCGTTCGCATCGTCTCTTTCTGTCACACGTTTCTCAATCTACCTTTCGTACACACAGTTTCTGTAGATTCTTCGAATTAAAGTAGGTTTTTATCCGTTATTCCCGGTTACGAGACGCCCTTTATCTTCACGCATGAGTCTTTTTGTACCAAGCCTATCGCTTATTCTACCCCTTTCTTCACTCCAGCCCCCACCCCACCCCAGCCCCAAAAATCTACTAAATTCTCTGATAATATGTATATATTTGGTATATATGACCTCTCGTCGTATTTCCTTTTTTCACAGAAACGCAAGCGTGCGGACGAGAAGCGCACGCGGATCTGGTTTCCGATGTTCAGCTATTTCGAGGCCAACGTCCACGGCACGGTGCCCAACGAATTCGAGTGGCCCGTGACTCGAGAGTGGCTCGCTTCGATGGCGTCAGCTGCCGTGGAAAAGGCCAGACATCTGGGGGTGTTGGGAGGGGGAGGGAAGTTGGGTGTGGGGGGAGGGAGGGAGATGAACGGGGGAGGGGTGAGGAATGGTGTGAGGAAACACAGGCATAGGCGCTGATAAGGGAAGGAGAAAGGATGAGGGTGTGACTTGTGAGGATTGGAAGTTGATGAGATAATATGTGTGATGAGGTGACGTGATGAGTGATCATGTGAGGCACGAAGTGTGATGTGATATGGTATGTGTTATGTGATATGTCATGTGACGTTATGTGTGATGTGATGTGACGTGATGTGTGATGTGATGTGATGACGGTGATGAAATCGCTTGGCGAATGTGTGATGTGTTGTGTCGTGTGCGAGGCATTACTCTGTGGGTTGTATGTGTCACTTGACTCACTATAATAATTTATATGAGTGAGTTAAGTGACTCCCATTAACTCCCCTCAGCTGATTCATTGAGTCAGCCGTGTGAATGAACACCTCTAAGGTGACGTAAGACGAACGATGACGTATATTGACTGATGGCGTAATCAATGACGCCATAGTTTGGTGTTACGGTGTAATTATTGAAGCGGAGGATTGTGATCCCAATGCTTACAATCAATATCCGGATTGTGCTGATTATCCTATAAATTTACACTGAATATAGGGGTTGTAGCGTGTATCGAAGATGATATTGAACGCACATGAGCTGTAGATTGCTTATGAAGGAGGATTGCTTGAGAAAATGAGGTAACGCGCAAAGTAAAGCAGGTGTTGAGCAACTTGGAAATTTACATATGAAATGCTTCTGATAAAGTTTGGTTGGTTTGGAAAATTACTTGCATGTTTTTTTTTCTGTAAAATAACGTCGAAAGCATCATTAAACTGCATATCTTGTGACGTAAGAGATGAAACAGCTGTAGTTACGTACCATTTTTCTTTGTCGCGTTCGTGGTCAAAATTTTCTTCATCATACTATAAAATTCGTTGCTACTGTCTTTCTGCAATCATGAGTTGAGTTCGTCCCAGTCCGTTCCTATCGTCAATCTGTACAAGGCATCGTGAATAATTTAACAGCATGGACGCCTATTTCTGCTAAGTTCTGATACGGATTTGTATGTATTTATCGCATATTTGCACTCAATCTTATGCTTTGATGTTGCACTATTGCACACACGATGCTACACATATATACTTCTGCTCTGTGATTTCTTTTGTTGCAATCCTGTCGCATTATGTGGAAGTGAAGGCAATTTGTAGTCGATGAAAATGCCAATCAGATGATCTTACGATTGGCCTTTGTAGCAATCATGGACACAACGCACATGTATGGATTGATATGAAACTACCCATGATTGTCTCGATCTCGCATCAAGATTGAAACGAATGTGCTCGCAAAGCTGGCGCCTGGAGCGTGCGCGTCTATGTATGTGTTAGTTGGGTTAGAATTGGGTGTCTTTGTGTGAATATCCATCCACAACTCAGCCTTTGGTGATATATGTAAACGCGTCTATCAAATGCATCCGCTCAACAATTCTTCCTACTGCGTATTGCCGATACTGTGAGACAGTGAAAATCACGCACGTGCTTTAGTTAGCGGGAGATTATCGGAGTAGTGAGATTCTAGTCGATAGCTCTGTACGGTGATTAGCTTGGTCTCCTGATTGTTACGTTAGGGGCATTTGTTTAGTTTGGGTTAGAAGTGGCTTTATGACAATATGTTTAAGTGCATAAATCACTGAGACAAGTTGGCGAGAGAGTGATTTGTTCATCTAAGACAGAAGGCTGATTCAGCTTCTAATGATCGTTGTACTCGATTCAACCAACTGTATGGCATTATATTAGGGTAGCTAGAAGTGGGGGGTATGTGTTAGCCGGTATTTGTTAAAGCTTGTCACGTCATAATATGTTCCTGTTATCACACACCCTGTGTTTGTCTTGGTATGTTCCTTCGGTTGCTATACCGCAAACATCCTGTGCTTCGTGTCATTTCAGTATTTTCAAATCATTTGATGACCCAGATATATTGCATTGACTAGCGACCGCTCAGCTTAATGTAGGCATTGTCAGTAAGTCACTTTATCAGGTATCCTTAATACGGTTAAAATCGCATGCAACCTTCGTATGAATCAAGTCGACACCTTATTTCTACTCCACCGTTGTCCGTCACTGGCCTCGTGCTCGTTTTCCAATGCACTCAGCTTTTCATTTCACATACCCCGCTTGCCACCCGCCGAATTCAGTGTGTCTCAGTACCCTGTATGTACCTGTCCAAACCAATGATATTGTCCAGTAGCTTCAGCGCACGACCCAACCGAGCTTTGTGTTCTGTTTGTCCGTTTGTAGGTTATTCTTGTCGTGAAAACGCGGACAGTTGTGTTCATACTCTCATACAGCAGCGGGCTTTGACAGCAGCTGTATACAAGAAAGCGGCCTCCGTTCGAATTATTCACCACCGCTTTCGTCATTTTAGCACCCGTTACCAAAATATCACGCTGCTTGTATGTATCAATCACATGGGAATGCTCGTCTGGCTACCGCCCTGTTCCGATACGCGGAAACCGCGAGTCTATATCGACGCGAACTGTATTTACTGTTCATGTGGTGCTACCAACGCTCAATGCTTCACAATCGGCTCAGCTCAGGTGATGGTCGAACGGGGTGCGTTTAATACAGGCATTTCCTATGAATTGGTATTTGTTAAAGGGCCAGATATATTGGTCTTTGTAAATGGGTTAGGTATGGAGTGTGCGGTGTTAGCGATTTATGCTCGAAAAGGGAAGCACGAAACATGCAAGATGCTCGGGGACCGCATGCCGTTCTACATCCCAACGTTCTGTCGTTTCCATCCTCAGGACAGTCAAATCCTTCTCCACGTCTCCTACCCCCTGATCCGGTCTAAACGCCAAACGGTCACCTTCATTCGAAGCGAGTAGACCTCAGGAGCGGGCTCACGTGTAATGGGCAGGTTCACCCGAATACTGTGCGCATGCTGTGCGCCGTGTAGTGTGTGGTTGCTGAGATAAAGCCCCTAATAAGCGTCACAGGCCGGGCCGAACAGCTCACACTAATATTTTTTCTCCGATGTATTGAAAAGACGCGCTTCATACTTGCTCAGCTCAGCAGAGCTTTCAAAAATCGCAACTGAGAGACAAAACACATTCCTTCGAAACTTTAAATAAATTTGGTCTATGAAGAGAAACATTCAAGCAAGCGGGTTGTACCTGTACAGTGGTATTTACATTCAATTTGTCACCATCACAGTCACAAACAAGACAAACCAACTATCAAAATCACGTCATACAGCATACAACCACTTTGGACTATCATGGGTATGTGTCAGGTGCGCAACTGCTTGACATCTAGTAAGAAACTTCACGCATTTAACAGATATTTTACTTGCGAACGCGTAACTGGTAAATAGCTGAGGTAGTTCGTATTATAAGGCCTCAAGCAGTTGACGAGAAACATTGCAGCCGACAATTGGTTTCAATTCCAATATTGCTTTCAAAAATTGTGACAACTGAGACACAAGCAGTAGACGGGCAAACGCGGCTTCATTCAAAGGATAATTTGTCGAAAATTGAGAATTGCTAAAAGTTGGGATGAGCAAGCTATGGGTAACACGCATCTAAAAACGAAATGTCACAAATATGTGAATTCATTGGTTCTGCGTGACTAGTCTAAGAACACTGTTTGCATTGATAATAACCATTTACCGTAACAATTGCACTATCACCTTAAACTAACGAAAAAAAAATGTATAAGACGCGCTCTACAAAATCGCTAAAAAGGAGTGCATGCAATTCACCGCGTTCCACAAAATCGCTAAAAAGGAGTGCATGCAATTCACCAACAGACATACAACGCCTTCCGTGTGACGACTTTGGGCACAAGAAGCATTCCATTAAATGATCAGTAACCTACCAATCGGGCTCACAGAAGCATCTCTCAGACAGCACACATAAAACAGTTGTTCTGGCATCAGAGCCGATGGAGACTCCACAATCCTGATGTGCAGCAAGGGAGATACCGTAAAGTGGGGCTATTTGAGACAGTATTTAAAATCGCTATAAAATGAAGATGGTTTGATTTTTGTGTGATATTTCTGCACAGGGAGGTGTGGAATCGAGCAGTAAATCGCCTGAGCAAAAAATTAAGCATGAATCTTAAGTGGTTTTTATTTTACAGCAATTTTAAATACTGTCTCAAATAGCCCCACTGTCTCAAATAGCCCCACCTTACGGTAGGTTCTAAACGAAACAAATAGCGACGCTGGCTTTTGGCGTATAAATTAGCTGTACACCGCTAGCGCTGGTAAAGACGCACCACTTCTAAAAGGTGTATCACTTCGTACTTGGGCAGTAAACTTGATTATTGCAGCGTCAAACTGACTTCTATCCCGACAATGTGCAGAAAACGGCAGTCGCTAACGAATGGCGCCGCCGGCGGCCAGTCCCTGAAGTTGTAGTTGACATTTTCGCCCACAGATGGCAGTGCTACCGCGCCAGGAGGCCGCAGTCTGTCAGCCAGGTTTTGATCATCCTGTTTGCGATTGTTCCGCGCGGTGGAACCCAGAGTTCATCCTTCTGGGTCTCGTTACGGATCCTGAAAATGGAGAGAGGCAATCAGAAATGCTGTCAAAATAAATCTAACGTCTCGAACAGAACAGAAAAACGAAGGATACCCGCGGTAGTGAGCAAAATCAAACACTTCATCCTTCACTAGGAACCAGGTGTAGTCAGTGGACAAGTTAGATTCATCTACATCTTTCCTACGTTCTGTTGTATTGCTTTCCACGAGTGGGTGCACCGGTGGGATCGTCTCGCAGACTATTTACCGGAACATGCCCCCCTGGCCGGTGTGCCTGAGTGCGCCCATGCGGCGCCCCGCGGCCGTTGTATGACCCGAGTGAGGTCAGTCGGGCGGCGCGGCCCCGTCCGCTCGCGGGGAGGGGTAGGAACTAGGAGTGGGGCGGTATGTGAGGTGGTGGCTCTGACTCAGGTTGTGACTCGTAAAGAGTGAATGAAAGTGCGTAGTCATCATTGCGCAAAGCGCATCGACACTGCGTATCGTGACTATACATACTGCGCATAAATGCGCATCAGTGTAGTGGCAGGAGTGACGATGGCGCGTCAGTGTTGTGAATACTACGTGCGGCCCAGTGCGTGACGCGATTTGCCATCACGCCTCTTCTCCGTGATATACGACTACAGCAGCTTTGCGCTCATCTCCCGGCCTCCTGACTGACTGCCTGTCCAGGTAAGCTTCCTAAGCGGCCATCATCGCTCGTTTCGCACCACCACAACAGACGCCTTCTCACGGGCCCCTTCCCAGGGTCCCCAGACTCTCTGTTATTCCCCGGACTCGCGGACACCCACCTGGCCATAGGGTTGTGCTGTATCCGTTTGTACGCCTCCAGAATTTCCTCTGCAGAGAACCAGCGCGCGTCCTCCAGTTCTTCAGTGTCAATTTCCAACTGGCGGTGAAGAGGGGGAAGAGGCTGAAGGTCGAC